ATAGAGACATACAAGATGATCAGAGGATTAGATAGGGTGGACAGTGGGAGCCTTTTTCCTCGGATGGTGATGGCTAGCACGAGGGGACATAGCTTTAAATTGAGGGGTGATAGAGATAGGACAGATGTCAGAGGTAGGTTCTTTACGCAGAGAGTAGTAAGGGCGTGGAATGCCCTGCCTGCAAAAATAGTAGACTCGCCCACTTTAAGGGCATTTAAATGGTCATTGGATAAACATATGGATGATAATGGAATCGTTTAGGTTAGATGGGCTTCAGATTGGTTTCACAGGTCGGCGCAACATCGAGGGCCGAAGGGCCTGTACTGCGCTGTTATGTTCTATGTTCTAGGGATGTGCAGGCTAGGTGTGTTAGCCATGGGAATGCAGGGTTACAGGGATATAGGGTGGTGTTCCGGGTGGAATGGTCTTTGGATGGCTGGTGAGCTGAATGGCTTCTTTCTGCACTGTAGGGATTCTGTGACTTGCACTTAGAACCTTGTTACTCAGAGGTGGAAGTGCTACTAAGGGAGGCGTAACTGCTTCTAATAGCACGTTTGATGTAGCAAAACACTCCAAGATGTTTCTGAAGGTGTGGTTGAAAGTTAGACACCAAACCACATGAAGAGGCTCTTAAGATGGCTGATTGACATCCTTGTCAAAGTTGGTAGGATTTAAGGAGTGTTGTACGTAAGAGAGAGTTTGCAGAGGGAAGTTTTGAGCTCAGAGCCCCTAGGGGTAAAGGCAATTGCACAAATCTAACATAATTTGGAGGTAAGAATTTAAGGAATGCAGAGATCTGTTAGGATGTAAGCCTCGGTTGGGGAGTGGAAGCGGTGTTTACAGAGAAAGAGAGAGGTGGAACCATGGTAATTTCAGATGAGGATGAGGGGATGAAGATTTTAAATTTGAGGTACAGATCGACTGAATGCCAGTCGGGGAACACCAGGAATGATGGATAAGCAGGGCTTTTTACAGGCAGCAAAACTATGGATGAGCAGAAGAGGATAGCACACTTCCTGCTGCCTCAGGAAAGCAGCCAACATAATCAAATATCCCTTCCACCCGGTTATAATTTCTTCTATGACAAAAGTTTAAAAGCACATACTAACAGATTCAAGAACAGCTTCTTCCCCACTGTTATCAGACTTACCAGTGGATCTCTCATATATTAGAGTTGATCTTTCTCTGCATCATAGAACCCTTCTAGCCATTCAACCCATCACATTCACACTGGCCCTCCACAAGCATCCCACCCAGACCGACCCTCTCTATCCTAATCTATCCCTATAACCACATGGCTGATGCACCTAGCCTGCACATCTTTGGACTGTGGGAGGAAACCCATGCAGACACTGGGAGAGTGTGCAAACTCCACACAGACTATCACCTGAGGCTGGAATGGAACCCTGGTCCCGGTGCTGTGAGGCAGCAGTGCTAACCACTGAGCCACCGTGCCGTTCGTAGCTGTAACACCATATTCTGCATTCTATTCTATTACCCTGACGTACTTATGTAAAGTATGATTTGCCTGGTTAACTTGCAAAATAATATTTTTCACTGTATCTTGGGGCAATAATAAATCAAATCAAATCAAATCAAAAGAGAGCATTTCAATAGAAAGGATAATAGTCACACGATAGAGGATTGACCCAAGCACACTACAGAGCAGGTTGCTGTGAGGTTGGTTTGTGTGACTATGGGTTGGCTGAGTCTGCTGCAGGGCCCTCATGACGAAGGAGTGTAGCACAAACTGCCTCATCTCGCCACTTGGATAAGGTTGGCGAGAATGAAAGCAGACTGACTTGACCAACTTCTGCTTTTCTGACCTGGTTTCCTCTTTGTTCTCAGGTTGCCGGGGATTTCCACCACCTGTTGGCTTCACTTACTCCACATGGTTCACGGTTGTCAGCTTCAGTTCTGGATTTGACGCACATCCAGTCCGTTTCCTCACCATCTTCCGTCACACGTCAAAGATGGAGAAAGATTTCATTTGCTTATCCATCAGCATTTCAGCACCAGAGAAGCGGTTGGTCATTTCCACTCAGGAGGAGGTGTTTGAACCCTTCGGTATAGTGTGCTACCACTATTAACAGATTTCACCATAAAGTGAATTTGAATCGTAGAATCCCTACAGTGTGGAGGCAGGCCATTCGGCCCATCATGTCCACACAATACCTCTGAAGAGCTTCCCACCCAGACCTGCCCTCCTGCCCTGTTCCTGTAACCCTGCATTTCCCATGACTAATCCACCTAAACTGCACATCCCCTAAACAGGCAATTTAGCACGGCCAATCAACCCAACCTGCGCACCTTTTGGAAACCTGCGCAGACACAGGGCAAATGTACAAACGCCACACAGACGGTCGCCCGAGGCTGGAACTGAACCTGGCACTGTGAGGCTGCAGTGCTAGCCACTGTGCTGCCTGTATTTGTAATTGTTTCTACAAGATTGTTGTTCCATACATTAGCAGTTCAGATAGTTCTGGTATGTTGGCAATTGGATAATACTTGCTGCAGAATTGAGCGACACAGTGAAGGAAAACTCCATGTTTGATCTGTAACTAATCTCAGAGGCGTAAGGGTCTAGCCACTGATAGGATTCAGTGCTGCTGGGTTAAGGAGAGAGCTAGGACAGGGTTTCATGTTCCTTACCCCTTATCCAGTGGCCTACTTTTTTGGAAAGCATTTGATATGGTGGCAAGAGCATAATGAAATAGCCTGGTAATATACAACAATCTGGATTTATGGATAAATGCTAGGAAGCAAAACACAGGATGGAATGGGAAATAATGCTCGTGCAACTATTAAAAAGTGTCCATGACTCCAAAATGGGCCATTCGTTCCAACAGCCCCATGCCAGCATTTACTTTCCACAACTCTTTCCTTCCAAACCATTGTAATCAAACCCCATTCTTCTCTCACTTGTGCTTTCCCGTGCTGCATCTGTGCTATTCACCTCAGCTGTTCCCCCCGATATGAGCCATTTCCATTTTACATCTCCTCAAGAAGCTTCTCATGACCTCACAGTTAGATTTATCACTGACTTTCTCCTGTAAATAGTCTCTGGTCTCACCATCAAATTCATCCTAAAGGAATGCCTGAGACCTAATGGAATGAAGGGTCAGGAGACATGTTAATGAAATAAGAGGCTTTGGCCTCGTGGCACTATCGCTGGACTGTTGACCCAGATAATGTTCAGGCTGACCTGAGTTCAAATCCCACCATGGGATAGTGGAATTTGAATTCAATAAATATCTATAAATAAACTCGATGAATATTAAGGGACTAATGATGACCATGAATCCATTGCTGCTTTTTGGGAAAAAACCATCTGGTTCACTAATGTCCTTCAGGGAAGGAAACTGCCATCCCTACCTGGTCTGGCCTACATGTGACTCCAGACCCACAGCAATTTGGTTGACTCAAATTGCCCTCTGGGCAATTAAGGATGGGCAATAAATGCTGGTCTTGCCAGTGACACCCTCATTCCATGAATGAATTTTAAAAACAGAGTAAGGTTTTGGGCAGGAGATGCAAAGGGGAATGTGAGGGAGAATTTTTTTTTAATACAGCAAGCTTAAATGACTTGGTTCAAGCTGCCTGTGAGAGTGGTGGAAGGGGAACATGACTGATGATCTCAAAAGGAAATTGGATGGTCACTTTAGGAAAATAGGCAGGTCTGGGCATTTACAAAGGGAGAGAGCAATGGGACCTTAATCAGATGGCCCAATGGGCTAAGGAGTGGCAGATGTGACTTCAGACCCACAGCAATGTGGTTGACTCTTAACTGCCCTTTGGGCTATTAGGGATGGGAAATAAATGCTGGCTTGGCCAGCAATGCCCTCATCTCGTGAATGAATAAAGAGAGGAAAGGTTAATTAGGTGTGAATTGGTTGTATAAATGTGGGGAGCTAGTAATCAGCAGAAATGTGAGTTTTATAGTGCTAACTGAAATAAGGCTTACATGTAAAAGTGTGGGCTCGAATTCTGCTTAAATAGTCATCATTTGGAATTTTAAAAAATTCATTCACGGGATGAGGGCTAGGCCAGCATTTATCACCCTTCCTAGAGGCCAATTAAGAGTTAACCACATTGCTGTGGGTCTGGAGTCACATGTAAGCCAGACCAGGTAAGGATGTCAGTTTCCTTCCCTAAAGGGCATTAGTATAACGCCAGTTCAGATCTTAGCTGCAAGTGGGAATACCCTTGCGATTTTAAACCTTTTCATTATCTCAAAGACTTCCATTAGATCCTCAATCTTCTCTTTTCTCAGAATTGAACCACAGACTGTTTGAGTTTCTCGTAAATCTTTTGTGCAGCTCCTTTAGATACTCCAAGTTTGCAGTGAAAGGAGCCATATCCCTTTACTGCAGCAAGAATTTTGCCAAGTGACACGGAATAATTACCGTCCCTCCTGAAAAATTTAAACTTTTCCCACTTCGATATTGTTCTATGCAGCGCAATCGTATGTGTGGGGGTGGTGTGGTTTAAAATAATTTACGGTTTTAATTTTGCTCAGGATTTTAGGGAAACGAGTGTTGAGCTTTCAGCCTCACTTTTTAATTAGTTAATTCAGCGGCACACGATAATGAACAGTTCGGGCAAGAGACAGACAGGTCTGACAGCTCAGGGTGAACAATCCCCTAACCCGAACCACAGGGCAGCCTCAGTTAGGCCCACGTGTATTCCATTAAAACAGCAATAACATGTACATGCCTGTGGCACATGAACCGTATTTTAATATGGGTCAATGTCTAGGCAAAATATGGTCTGTGTTAAAATTGAGCTGCCTTTCACTTTACTGCAGCAAGAAAGGAAAGAAGGGCTTGCATTTATTAGCACCTTCCAAAACATCAGGTCATTTCTGCAGGCAAGAAAATAGTTTTGAAGTGTATTTGCTGCCTTAAATGTAGGGAATGTGGCAGGCAATTTATACAGAGCAATGTCTTACCAACAGCGATGGGATAAAAGACCAGATTAGCATCATTCTGCCTACAGGGTTCCCAACAATATTTATGGTCCAGTGACATGTGACACCTTTATCAAGGAACCAAAACAATTAGTTTCATTGTGTTGAATTGCAGTCTCATCAATTTCTTTCTAATCTTCAGAGCACTCGCACCTTTATAAACCTTCCCTGCTGCAATAATTGATGCTATTTATGACTGGTGGGTCAATGTAACACACATTAGAATTTCAGAACTTCTGAAAGTTGCCTAGACAGCAATAAGATGTAAATTAAGCAAGTCATTATGATGCTTCCAATCAAAGAAAGACACGCTTCTGTCAATGTGGATAACTGTGGACTGCAACTGGGTTGGAAGGACTCTTGGGGTGCAGTGGTAGTGTTGCTATGCCTGAGCCAGGTTAAAGTCCCACCTGTTCCAGAAAGGTGTAATAACATATCGGGTTGGGAATGATGGGGGGGAAATGGGGCTTGGAAGCAGCAGAGACAGTGGGAATCTCTGCAAGGAAACAAATAAGCCCTCAGCTTAAGGGAGATGATAGATATTTTATAGTATTGTGGAGAGAATCTGATGGTATAGACACTGACAGCATCTTGTCCTTGGTCACCCATTCTTGAGCTTGGGTTAGTGCTTCTTGTGACCCTGTTCCCTATAGTCACTGCAATGGCAAGGAACTCTCCTGTGAAATCTTCAGTTCGCCGTTCTACATGGCACCGCAAGACAAGCATCTTCTTGCTACCTCCATGTTTCTTGTGCCTTGAATTAGGAAAGTGCCTGTATTTTTTTGGTGTTGAATTTTCTTCCATTCAGAAGTACCGCCCCCCGATCTAACACTTGGAGGGTGGTCTGCCAGCTTGGCTAAAGGTTCTGTTCCACCTGCATCCAGAGGAACCCCACTGCCCCCCACCCCCCACCCCCATTCACAGGATGGAGCCATTGCTGGTCAAGTCGGTATTTATTACCCATCCCTAATTGCCCAGAGGTTTATAAGAGTCAGCCACATTGTTGTGGATCTGGAGTCACATGTAGGCCAGACCAGGTAAGGATGGCAGTTTCCTTCCCTAAAGGGCATCAGTGAACCAGTGGGTTTTTCCCCTCGACAATTGATTCACGGTCATCATGATTGATTCCAGACTTTTTTAAAAATTGAATTCAAATTCCACCATCTGCCATGGCGGGGTTTGAACCCAGGTCCCCAGAACATTACCTGAATCTCTGAATTAACAGTCCAGCGATGGCACCACTAGGCCAACACTGCCCCTGCAGTGGTTTATATTCAAGTTCCCCTTTCTTTCATCCCATTCTGGCAAAAGCTGGATGTCTTCCTGACAGCGCCAGTGAGTCCTGAACCTGTGCGTTGTTTTCCAACACCACACAGGAGGGTCAAGGTTGGTCTGAATTGCTGTCTGTAAGCAGAGAAATAGCCAACGTTGCTGGTGCCAGCGCATACTTAAGCTCCACAAGATTGCGTTTAATTCCACCAGTTGACCATTTCTTCTCCTTGTTCGTGTGTACACCAGATTGGAATGAACCAAGCCAGGACCAACAGTCTTCTGCACTAACCTCTGTCGAGTTCAACATCTCCAACTACTTAATTTGTGGTCAGTGGCAGCACTTGGCTGTGGTATTGAACAAGGACCTTCGAAGAAACACAACGGTGCTCGCATACATAAATGGAAAAGCCATAGGAACTGCTAAGGTTGGACCATCTGGCTTTCAGTTTTGAATTTATAAATGTGCGGTTTCCAATGGAGTGACATGACTTTATTTTCCATTGTTAAAATACACTTGTATCTCCCTTTATGAAAAGTTCTAACATTCCAATACATGATGATTTGCAATAGGCCAATTGTTTTGCAGAGTTGTTTCTCTGTTATTCAAAATACTCAAAGTCTCACACTATGGTTCTTACCATGCCCTACAAAAACACGTTTCAAAATCCTTTTTGTGATATTGACCACTTTTATACCCTGGCCCCATCTTAGACAGTCAACAGTCAAGGTAGGGTTAAAATCTGATTTTCTGAAGAAGGGTCCAGACCCGAAACGTCAGCTTTCCTGCTCCTCTGATGCTGCTTGGCCTGCTGTGTTCATCCAGCTCTACGCCTTGTTATCTCAGACTCCAGCATCGGCAGTTCCTACTATCTCTGATAAAATCTGATGTTATTATTAAACTGGTGAGAGTTCAGAAGAGATTTACCAGGATGTTGCCAGGATTGGAGGGTTTGACTTGCAAGGAGAGGATGGATAGGCTGGGACTCTCTTCGTTGGAGTGTAGGAGGTTGAGGGGTGACCTTATAGAGGTTTATAAAATCATGAGGGGCATAGATAAGGTGAATTGTAGGTGTCTTTTCCCCAGGGTGGAAAATTTCAAGACTAGGGGGCATATTTTTAAGGTGAGAGGAGAAAGGTTTTAAAAAGGCATAAGGGGCAATTTTTTAACCTTTTGGATGGTTTGTGTGTGAAATGAATAGCCAGAGGAAGTGGTGGATGTGGGTACGGTTACAATGTTTAAAAGACATTTGGATAAGTATCTGAATAAGAAATGTTTGGAGGGATATGGGTCAAGCGCAGGCAGATGGGACTAGTTTAGTTTGGCATGGGCAGGTTGGATCGAAGGGGCTGTTTCTGTACTCTATGACTCTATGGCTGTACGATAATATATAGATGTATGGGACACTCCTATAGATACTTGCTTTGAAGACAGTATCGTCTGGTTAAGTATCAATGTACAGATGTGGTGGAGCCTATGTTCGGATAGAAATTACAGGAAAGATTCTCTCCCCTCATCCACTGTTTAGAAAATCACAAACGTATGAAGGGAAACTGGAAAGTGATGTTTTGTCAAATGCAACGTAAAACTGTGATGATCGTGAATTCTTTGCAGTAATTCTGCCTCACTGTTAACAGATCCAATACATTCAGACATTTCCAGGGATGCATTTTTCCTCGGATTCATCAGCTGTCATCGATGTTCATGGAATTATAGGAACTCCCCAAATCTGGAAACAACGGTCCTCTTTAGTTTGGCGTCTCGGTCCAACTTGCCTGTTTGAAGAGGTCATTCCTGCGCAAAGTGTTGACGTTATTTATCGTTTGGGACCAAACTATTTAGGAAACTTTCAGTCTGTTTATTTGCCTGGTAGGTTGCCTGGTAAAACTCGGATTCACTTCACTTTCTAACCACAGGCTGAATTGTCTCTTGGTTTTTCAAAAAACAAATTTTTTCTACTGCAGGGAGTGATTTAACCAAAATATCAGAGCCTTTAGTACTTGTGGCAGAAGAGAAGGTATCGTTTGGTATCAATGTAGTGTCATCTGAGGTGATGACTGTGACAGACATTAGAATTAACTACAATGAAGTGGACAGCCGACTGATATCAAGTGAGGTACGTTCACATGAAACAAATGATGCTATGGTTCATCAAATTGTCCAGCAGCCACTCGTAAACCAACTGATAAGTGGGATTTGAAGTATTTTTGACACAGCAGAGGAGGCTACAAAATGATTAAAAAGAGATTATTTCAAAAAATTACAATGCAATTGATTTCGATGGGGAAAGTTGACTCCCTCTTGATGGAGATCCTGTGAAAGTTCTAAGGTTGTCATTGAGGTTCAGAAAAGGCAATAGGAGGAATTTCTTTACACCCTGTCAGAGAATGAGGTGGTTGCCACAGGAGCTGGTTGAGTCAACACCTTTTAAAGGAGAATTCGATGACCACATGAAGCAAAAAAAGATAAAGGAACGTGAGGGTAGGATACACTGGTGGAATTTGTATTTCTCCAGCAAAAAAAGACTTTTTTTTTGTGCTGCAAACATCCATAGTTCAATCTTCCCAGCAGTTGTGTTGCTATTCCCATTGTTCATTTACTAAAAGAAGCTAAAAGGGACTGAATATTCCCATTAACCTTCAAACAAAATCCTCAAAAATCTCCTCTTGGAAACTGTATGGAGTGATTCCATTTCATAAAATCCTTACAGTGTGGAAGTAGGCCATTCAGCCCATCGAATCCACACTTACTCCCCTGAACAGCATCCCACCCAGACCCACCTTATCCATGTAACCCTGGATTTCCCATGGCTAATCCAACTAACCTGTACATTCCTGGACTATTTAGCATGGCCAAACCACCTAACCTGGACTTTGGGCTGGAGGAGACACAGGGAGAATGTGCAAACTCCACACAGACAGTTGCCAGGCTTGGAATCAAAACTGGGTCCGTGGAGCTGTGAGGCAGCAGTGCTAACCACTGAGCTGCATCACCCCTACAGGCTTTATAAACCTGTAACTTTCAGGGTTCCTGCTGAACCTATAGCTCTCTGGCAGGTTCCTAATTTTCCTTCAGCTAGTGATTGGCACTTGATTCTAAGCACAGAATTCCTTCCCCAAACCTCTCCATCTCTCTATTCCTATTTTGAGACTGCCCTTACACTTTGACCAATCTTTTATCCCAGTACTTCCCTGTCTGACTCCGTGTGAAACCTTGTACGAATATTGCTCCTGTGAAGTGCCTTGGGACATTAAAGGGACAACATAAATCTAAATTGTTGCATGGTTTACATACTTCCTCTCTCATCCAAAGAAGATAGCAACAGGCAAAGCTCTCTCTCTCTGCTCACCATGGTCCAGCAACTTGGAATAAGCAACACAAAGGGAGGAGGAAGGATTTGTTCTATTCTCTGACAGCCTCATTCCTACATACTCAAGAGGTACTGAAGTACACCCAGTTTTACTATATTGATGTTGTGTTGTTCCTCTCTCCTTCAATTTGTTACAGTTGGGAATTTCGTCTCGAGATGATGCAATGCCTATTGTTCTGGCAAAAAATATGGCCAGCCATCTTCCTGGTCTAGCTCGAACTATTGGCGCACCAATTGCAAGCTTTTTTGGTAAGAAATATTAAATCATATTAACATTAAAAATAGAACTATAGGTGCATCAATGATAGGTTCACAATAAAGTTAGAGAGGTGTTTTGATCAGTTATCTGGGATAATCAGTATTATTTAAATTCGACCCACCTGACACACCTAACTTTCTCCGCTCTTGTGTGTGTGTGTGTGTGTGTGTGTGTGTGTGTGTGCGCGCGCACGTGTGCATGGTCTTTGCTCCAATGTATGTTAACTGGATGTTCTCTAAACTGTGTCATTAGGCATTCCAACATTTAGTGTCAGCTGTGGCTCAGTTGGTTGCACTCTCTCGCCTGAGTCACAAGGTTCTGGGTTCAAGTCTCACGCTGTACATAGAACAGTACAGGCCCTTCGGCCCACAAAGTTGTGCCGACCTATTATCCTACTAAGATCAAATTACCCTACATTATATTGTCATCCATGTGCCTATCCAAGAGTTGCCTAAATGTCTCTGATATATCTGACTCCACTGCCACTGCTGGCAGCGCATTCCATGCACCCATCACTTGAACACAGATATCGAGGCTGACCCTCCAGTGTATTGCGGAGGGAGTGCAGCATTGTCTGACATGTTTATTTCTCTGTCAACATCACAAAAACAGACTTAGCTGGTGATTTTAACATTGCTGTTTGTGGGAGGTGGCTGTGCACCAATTGGTTGCCATGTTTGCATATTAAAGCAGTGACTGCATTTCAAAAAGTGCTTCATTGACTGTAAAGTGCCCTGCATTTCCCATGGATAATCCACCTAACCTGCACATCTTTAGACTGTGAGAGGAAACCCACGCAGACACGGGGAGAATGTGCAAACTCCACACAGTCGCCCGAGGGTGGAATCGAACCCAGGTCCCCAGTTCTGTGAGGCAGCAGTGCTAACCACTGGGACTACATGCCACTTAATACATGCACCTTCGCAGTCACAGAGTCAGACAGCATGGAAACAGACCCTTCAGCCCAACTTGTCCATTCCAAACAGTACCATTTGCCAACGTTTCATCCATATCTCTTTAACCCTTTTCTATCCATCTACCTGTCCAAATATCTTTTAAATATAACATATTCGCTTCTACCACTTTCTCTGGCAGCTCATTCCATACACGCACCACCCTCTGTGTGATAATGATGCCCCTCAGGTCCCTTTTAAATCTTTCCCCTCTCAGTCACCACAATCGAGTGTGATTAGTTCAGGATATATGAGGAATTGTACCTGGAACTGTCTGTTGTCATTCACACCTGATGGCACCTTCTTCTTTTATTATTCTTAACCTGTAGTGCGCTTTAGCCTGTGTGTCCCATGCCTCAGTGGGTCAGACTCGTGGCTATGTGTCAGAGTTTTCTGAGTCTCACTTCCAAGACTAGAGCACACAGTGACAGTCCACTGCAGTACTGAGGGAGTGCTTCACTGTTGGGAGTGCCATATTTTGGATGACATGTTTAATCAAGGCTTCATCTGCTGTCTTGGATTGTCAAAGGAGATCCCACAGGTTTATTGGAAAAAGAATTGGTTTTTGTGGAAGCTTACTGTGCACAAATTGTTTGCCGCAATCCCTACCTTAAAATAGTTGAGTTCAATTTCTGAAAGTATTTTGTTATAAACGGCCCTTAGAAACACAAGAAACATAGAAAATAGGTGCAGAAGTAGGCCATTCAGCCCTTCAAGCCTGCACCACCATTCGATACAATCATGGCTGATCATGCAATCTCAGTATCCCATTCCCGCTTTCTCCTCATATCCCTTGATCCCTTTAGCCCCAAGGGCCATGTCCAGCTCCTTCTTGAATATATCTAATGAACTGGACCCAACAGCTTTCTGCGGGAGAGAATCCCACAGGTTCACAACTCTCTGAGGGAAGAAATTCTTCCCCATCTCGGACCTGAATGGTTTACCCCTTATTCTTAGACTGTGACCCCTAGTTCTGGACTTCCCCAACATCTGGAACATTCTTCCCGCATCTAGCCTGTCCAGTCCCATCAGGATTTTATGTTTCTATGAGATCAACCCCCCACTCCAGTTATTTTTCTAAATTCCAGTGAGTATAATCCCAATCTTTCTTTGGGTGATCTGGGTTTGTATTTCCCATTATGTAAACGTTAGCCCTTTTCTAATTTATATTTATTCCTTGTGTTTTTCCTTCCAATTTATGTTTCTGAACGATCTCTGAACAATTGTAGTTTTGTGCAGATAAATATCTTTTTAGCAAGGTAGTTTTGTTAGGAATATCTCGGCTAAATTGTCATCCTGGCTCTATGCCGCTGCTATTATCATCAGATTGGATACAAGGGATTAACAAATGGCTTGGTGTGGAAGTATTGCTGAAGAATTGACAAGAGCCTGAGCGTGCACGGAGATTGATAAGGGAATCGTTTTGAAAATAATCCTCGTTATTTATTTGATTGCTGTAATTAGTCCGTGGAAATTGTTCCCTTTATCTTTTGAATGAGGCGACAAACCAAAGCCCTATCTGCCCCGCACGACTGAATGGAGTCTAAAAGGGTCCCTGGGTGAGCTTTTTAATGAGCAGACCTACTAAAGGCTGAGGTCCTGGACAAATTGCCCTGCCTAATTTCTGTATCATTATTTACCCCATACTGTGACAACATTCTGTTGTAAACAAGTCATCAAGACCTTTTAGGCCTTTCTGATGAAATATTCTGAATAGGTTTATTTTATTGTAGCAATTACACCACATTCTATTTCCTTTGAGTAAACCCTTTAATTAAAAAAAATCAAAATACATCAATACTTTACCTGGAACGTACCAATTTACAGCACCTTTTTAATATTAAGGTTTACAGTTATATTGCACCACAGGGCTAACATGGCCCAAAGGTAACGATCTTGCTGCTAAAACAGAAAGTTGTGAGTCCTAGTCCCACTCTAAGATTGCAGACTGCAGTCTAAGCAGATGTTCCCTTGCAGAACTGAGGGAGTTATTACAGGTGATGAATCAGATGAGGTGTGAGAATGATGCCCCTTCTACCTCCTCTCGTGGCAATAAAATGTTGCTGAGTTATTTTGAATAACATCAAGAACTTCTGCTGGTGTCTTGACCAGCCTTTAGCCTCTATTCAATGCTGCTTTGACCACATTAATTGGTCAAGTATTTATAGTAATTGTAACGAGGTCAGCCAGCTGGAGCTTATCGAATATGAGTTCCCTGATTGGACCAGGTCAACAGCCCCAGTCAGGAAGCCTTGGCTGACAGGAGTGTTGCATTGTCCTATTCAGGCTTTGCTTGTTAATGTTACACTAGCTACATGGGTGCTTTCCTGGTGGTGGAAAATATAGAATAAAATTTTAGCACAATGGCATATTTTTACTGTGTCGCTACACATACATACACAGCCGTGGGTGATAGGGGAAAAGTATAAGCACTACTGCTAGCCCCCCTTTTGGGTGCAGAGGTAGTGTGGGGGAATTATTTTAAAAAAAACAGGAGTGTCAGAGGTTCTGTTCACTCTGAGAACTGGCTCTGAGGAAGCTGGACCAGTGTCAAAGACTCTTCACGTGTAAATAAAGGGTGACTTGGTGACAGGATACCAGCCTCCGTGGACTTATTTCAGTATTCATTCTTTGTTTGAAAGAATGTGTGCAAATTGGTTCCCATGTTTTTCTACATAATGAGAGCCTGAACTGCAGAGGAAAATACAATTAACATGTTCCGCAGAGTCTTTGAGTCATGAAGAAAGAGTTGCATTGATGTGGCACTTTTCACAACCTCAGAATTTCCAAAGCACTTTGCAACCAATGAAGCACTTTAAAGCATTTTCACTGTTTTAATGTAGATGTGTTGTGTTAAAGCAAGTCTTTCTCCCAGTCCAGAACATCTTCAAAAATTAATTTGTTAGAACATGATGTCAGTTAGTCCATCCAACCAATCATTGCATACAGTCTGATATCCTTAAAAGACTTTGAACCCAAACATGAGGTAGGTTGGATTATTGGATCTCCAAACCTAGAAAGACTGGAGATCGTCAATGAATAGTGTTGGTAGGAGCCAAGTGAATGATTGTTGTACTTTCTGTTTTACCTGATCAAGGCAGACATTTAAAGATCTAAACAACTATTTAGTTTTTGTTGTCCAATGCCTGGTTCCCGCTGAAACATAAGTGAAACATCCCTGTGTAATATCGTGATTAAAGTTTTGGCTTGAATATGATAAGCATGTGAACAATCATCTGCCATGATTTATCCTTTTTAGGAGTCAGGACGTTTTTTTCGAATCCTGCTGCCAACTGTTTGCAGTTCGTCGGTGGTCCTGCTGTGATATTAGGCCTGGTTGCCATGGCATCTGATGACCATGAGATCTATGCAGCTGTCAAGGTCCTGATTTCAGTTCTGAACAGCAGCACTCTGTGTGAAAAAGAGATGGGACGCATTAAAGGCTACAGGGTAAAGTGCCCCATTTAGAGATGATTAAAAGTATATTAGAAGCCAGAGTTTTGAAATGGTCTTCTGGAATTTTAATAAATGCAATTGAACCTTGAAGTTTAGAAAATTTCAGGAGGTCAGTCGATGTGGGTATAAGTATTGATTTTCTTAAACTCTGCAAAAGCATTAAATATATTTTGGAATCAGATAGCTTACGTGATTCAAGTATCTTTGACAAGAATAGTGCACTGGAAAACCCATCAATTTTGTCACTTTGTTTACCAAACTGAGCTCCAGGTTTGCTAATTAAACGAATACTGGCTCAGACAAAAAAAGTCATTGCATTATAATTGATGATCGTGAGCTAAAGATTGTCATGAGTTAAGATATTCCTTTCAGTTACTTAGTTTTAATCTTGAAACTCTTATCTGTAATCCGTACAGGTAGGAAATGCTACTTAAATGTTCCATATCCTAAGTGATTTACCTATTGTAATGATACTAATGGATTCATCTGTCAGAAGGTTGAATTGTAGCCATTCCTGCCATTAATGTTCAATATGAAACACATTCCAGAGGTTTGTAAGTGCAGAGAGAAAGGGGGTTGCAGTTGCTGACTTGTGTCATAATTACCTATTACATTACAGTGTGGCCTTTTTCATGTCCATAATCATACCTTCAATTATCATAGAATCCCTGCATCGAGTCCACACTGACCCTTTGAAGAACATCCTAGCCAGACTCATCCCTGTAACGTTTCTTGTTTTTTGTTTTAGTTATTCATTTTGTGGGACGTGGTCATCGCTGGCTGGGCCAGCATTTATTGCCTGTCCCCAGTTGCCCTTGAGAAGGTAGTGGTGAGCTGCTGCCTTGAACCGCTGCTGTGCACCTGCTGTGGGTTGACCCCGATGCCATTAGGGAGGGAATTCTAGGATTTTGACCCAGAAACAGCGATATATTTCCAAGTCAGCGTGGTGAGTGGCTTGAAGGTGGTGGTGTTCCCATATATTTGCTGCCCTTGTATTCATGGGTTTGGAATCAGATGGCTTACACGGTATAAGTATGTGATATATAATGGAAGTGGTCATGGGTTTGGAAGGTGCTGTCTGAGGATCTTTGGTGAATTTCTGCAGTGCATCTTGGAGATAATACACTCTGCTGCTACTGAGCATCAGTGATGGAAGGAATGGAATGTAGTGCCACTCCAATGGGCTGCTTTGTCTAGGATGGTGTCAAGCTTCTTGAGTGTTTTTGATGCAGAACTCATCCAGGCAAGTGGGGAGTATTCCATCACACTCCTGAATGTAGATGGTGGACAAGCTTTGGGGAGTCAGGAGATGAGTTACTCGCCATTTCCCATGGCTCTTCCACTTAGTCTCCACATCCCTAGACACTATGAGCAATTTAGCACGGCCATTCCACCTACCCTGCACATCTTTGGACTGTGGGAGGAAACCAGAGCACCTGGATGTAACCCATGCAGACAGAGGGGGAATGTGCAAACTCCACACCCAAGGTAGAATTGAATCTGGTCCCTGGTACTGTGAGGCAGCACTGCTAACCACTGAGCCATCGTGCCGCCCCAAGTTTAATCTTGAAGAAATTGAAGATTCTCACATATTACTCATAATCAAGAACGCACAATGAATTTATATATTTGCTGACAAATGTTGAGAGAACTGATAAACACCCTGATTGCAATGTTCCAAATGGGAAAGTTACAGCCTATCAGGAGAGAATGTTTTATGCCAGCTGCAAATCTCGAGCTACCCAACTATTAACTTGGGATAAGCCACAATTTTTTTTAAAAAGTCTGGATTTTAAAATTCTCATCCTTGTTTTCAAATCCTACCATGGCCTGACTCCTTACCAACTCCAGAATCTCTTCCAATCCTATAAGCTCTCTGTGCTCACCTAATTCTAGCCACTTGATTTCAATGGCTGCCTACTTTCTGGCTGTGCCTTCAGCCCTAGGTTTCCCTCTCCAAACCTCTGTGCCTCCCTTTCCTCAACTTATTGACTAAAACTTCCCTTAAAACCTTTGACAAAGCTTTTACTCAATAGTTCCTTATACTGCCTTCTGCAATTCAGTGTCATATTTGGTTTATAATGCCCCTGTGATGCTCGTGGGGACATTTAGGTTAGGGTGCCATGCTATTGCAGGTTGTTGCTGTACCAAATTCTATTCCAAACTGAGGAAGGGATACTGAGACAACGGTGATGGAAGGAGTGGAAGTAAGTAGTTGCTACTAGCTTGTATAAGTCGAAACCAAAACATTAACATCTGTGTAGGAAAAATTGATAACTAAGCGTTTGTCGTAATGCACACAAGGTATCTAAAGTTGTCAATAAGTGTGCAAATAAACATATATTCTCTATCTACCATATGTGTAATTTTAATCATGTAAATTCATAAATGCTGTTTGGTAATCTCTGTGCCTCATGGTTATCGGTATCACAAAATTGCCCATAGGATCTGAGATTTTATTCTTTGAGAAATGCTCTTGTCAAATAAATCAGCAGATATTTAAATTATCTTTACGATGAAATCAAATCCCTCTGTAAACAGGAGTACTTCATTAAAATTGTAGAAATTATTACAAAACTTTATTCACCTTCAACGTTCTAAAAAAAATAAATATCCAACAATTTGAATTAAAGCAACATTAAGCAGAGAGTTAGTGCTCAGAGGACTTTTGCATTAACAGGTAATTCAAATTCAAAAGACACCACAAAAGTAAACTTCACTTAAGTTGTTTTTTGTTTAAATTATAATTACTCCTTCCAGATTGTGTATTAGTTTCCATTTTGAGTTTGCACATTCCCCCTCTGGCTGCTTTTGTATGTTGCTGGGTCATACAGCACGGAAACAGATCCTTCGGTCTAACCAGTCCATGCCGACTGTATTCCCAAACTAAACTAGTCCCACCTGCCTGCGCTTGGCCCATATGCCTCCAAATGTTTCTTATTCATGTACTTATCCAAATGTCTTTTAAACATTGCAACTGTACTGGCATCCACCACTTCCTCTGGAAGTTCATTCCACACACGAACCACTCTCTGTGTAAAAAGAATTTGTCCCTCATGTCTTTTTTAAATCTTTCTCTTCTCATCTTAAAAATGTGCCCCCTTGTCTTGAAATACTCCAGTCTAGGAAAATGGCACCTGCCATTCACCCTATCTATACCCCTCATGATTTTATAAACTTCTATAAGGTCACCCCTCAACATCCTACGCTCCAGCAAAAATGTCCCAGCCTATCCAGCCTCACTCACCTTATAACTCAAACCCTCCATTCCCAGCAACATCTTATTGTTATAAATTACATTCCACTCTTTTTGTTCCATTTAGCTTTTAGCTCTGCTGTTAAAAACGAAAGTGAGGCTGTTAAACGCCAGAATTTTTCAACTTATCCTGACCATCGTTGGAACTGCAGAGCTGGGTCAAGGAACCTCGACAATTTGCAACGACTGTGCTTTCAGAGACCTCCTCTGTGATTTTGAGGTAAATGTACTTTGAAAATGCTCAATTTGTCATCAAGTGTTGGTAGATTGTTCGGCTGAGCAAGCTGTCATGACATGAGTTTGATGCTGCACTGAACACAACGACTGGGTTGATTATAAATTTCTTCGCCCAGAAAGTGGTGAGCCTTTGGGATTCTCTACTACAGAAGGCTGTGGAGGCTAAAACATTGAGTGTTTCCAAGGAAGGAGTTAGATCTGGATATTTGGGCTAAAGGGATCAAAGAGTAGGTAGAGAAAGCAGGAACAGAATCCAGAGTGGGGTGATCAGCCATGATTATATTGAATGGTGCAGCAGGCTCACAGGACTGAATGGCCTACGCCTGCCCCTATTTTCTATGTTTCTATATTCAGCCTTTAAAGTGGGGGTTCGGGTGAAATCTCTGACTGATTTAATTTTGTTTTAAACTGCAGGGGTACTGCAGAGTTGTAACTGTGTGGATTGGCCATCAAGTGTCTTGCATCATTGCCAAACGTTGACTTCAGATTAGGGATTGGTAGCCTCCTTTTTTGTTTGTTTTTAGCTTCTTGTGAATTAATGCAGTTGGTACAAGAGTGTATTAAGTTCTGGGGTTGTTTGTGCCCACAACACGTTTTACATTGTCTTCTCACTGACACTAATGGCTTTCATTTTTCGAAGATTTGGCTGAATTCTCCAGAGTTGCTTGATCTGCTGCTTTTCAGACATTTTGTGGAACTTCTCAAAAGCAGGTAACAGTTTACGTTTCAGGAATCATTATGATCTCATTGCTAAATGATTTAATTTGAATACTTGAATTACTATCAGGGCAAAGCATATCTTTTGATTACTCCTATATGTGGCCAAATGATTAAATCCATTGTTTGTTTGATTTTGAACTTAAAAATATTGCCAACTGGGAGAGACTTTATGGGAGCACTGATGGAATGTGAATCCTTTGCTAGAAATGTGACATTTTTAATTTTTATCCTTCTTCTGTCTCATTTTATATTGCTTTTTTCCTCCCCCACCCCACCACCCTCCACCCCGCTACTGTGAGTCATCTTAATGTGTCTCTGACAAAACATTTCTTGATGAGAAGCCACAAAGGATTGCTTCCTTTTCCTGCATTATGACTAATTGGTTGCTAATATCAGTGAGTTGCCAAGTCGGGCCACCAGCTCTCCTTTGTTAGTTCATATTGTGTCGTACAAAGAATCACCTCCGTGTCATTGTCTTTCTCCCACAGTGATGGATGTCGCAATGCTGAAGTCATGCACAGACTTCTGTTGATACCGAGACTTGTCTTTCTGCTGAATGACCCCAATAATACCAGGTCAAAGGTTCATGTCATATGCACCATCCTTGCAGAATTGCTGAAAAGTTACTTTACCACAGCAGATCTCCTAAGGTAATGTTGTGTGTGGTGATTTTACAAAATCCCAGTGTAGATGGTCCATTGGCGAATTGATGAAATTGCTTTCCGTTTCTTGTTTTTATCTTTCATCAATTCCCAAGAGTAGATGAATACAGCAAATTAACTATTTGCTAATGTGTGCAAGCTCTGAAGAGGAATCGCCACATTTGGTTTTAAATCATGAGGAAGGATTTTAACAGTGATCCCATCCCTTCTGGGTGGAGACATAAGGATACCTAACAACTTTTAAGATTCAAGGATTCAATTGATGTTTCAAGTGGGTTCCAAACTGATGAAGGGCCTTTCATTGGATATTGACCAGTTTTCTCATTCAGTTGCTGACTCATTTGTGCAATTGCGTTAAATGTGCAATAGCTCTTGTTTATAGTATTGGACTAGCAATCCACAGGTCACACCTTCATAATCTCACCGTGGCAAATTAGGAAATTGAATTTCAAACAATCTGGCCATTTGTCGAGGTGGTTATGCTTTTGCGAATTTATTAATTCAGCATGGAAACACATCCATCAGTCCAACCAGCCCACGCCGATCATAATGCCAAACTAAACTAATCCCGCCTGCCTGCTCCTGGCCCATATCCTTCCAAACCTTTCCTATTCATGTACTTATCCAAATGTCTTTTAAATGTTGTAATTGTGCCCACATCTACCACTTCCTCAGGAAGTTTATTCAACACATGAACCACCCTCTGTGTAAAAAGATTTGCCCCTCATGTCTTTTATAAATCTCTCTCACCTTAAAAATATGCCCCCTAGTCTTGAAATCCCCCATCATTGGGAAAAGACACCTACCATTAACCCTATCTGTATCCCTCATGATTTTATACACTTCTATAAGGTCACACCTCAACCTCCTACAGGGTACCTCAAGATTGGGAATAAATACCCAGTGCCACACAACACGCCCAGAACAAGTATATTTTTAAAACTAGATTCTCTTTCATTATCTAGCATTTATAGTTATTTTACTTTGTTTATTTCTTTCGCATTTATATATGGACAGTATGGCAACGATGGCCTGTATCAGGAAACATGAAGAGATGACATAATTTCATGGCTGCCATTTAAAATGACTGACATAAATTATAATGAAACATTGTGGTATAATTAGAGACATATTTGAAGGTTGATTACTATTGAAATATTTAATGTTCTCTATTGAAGGATTGGATTATTCCTTACTTACACTTTGCCTCCAGCTTCCATGAATGAAAAATTAATTTCACTTGAAAGAGTTTCTGATACGTCAATAGACGGTGAGTCTTTTTAACTTATTTAAGACAATAATATTCTGGATGCATCTCCCACAAATACTAAACCTGATCGGTCTTACTTTTAATTTCTTTTGTTATTTGAAGCCATACATCATGTACCTGGAAGGACAATATGGCTAAGAAACCAACTGTTGAGAATGCTGCTTAATGTGTGTTCCGGTTACCTTAATCAAAATTCTAAGTAGGTACTTGCTCGCTCTCCTTTCATTTTTATATAGTTTTCCTGTAAAGTGAAAAATGCATTTTTTTTAATTAAAAAAAAATGTTCCTGTCAGAGATCAAGAGAAAATGTTTACTTCGCTGGGGCCTGACTGGTTCTTGCTTTTCATGCAAGCTCATCTTCACCCGACCACTGTAATCCTCAGTACAAAACTACTACTCCACTTCCTGTACAATCCCGTGCTGTTGGTCAAGTTCAAAGATGGCATGCCAGCAAATGTATGGTTGGAGAACAGTACTGCAGAGTGCAATATCCTGATGGGTATGTTTTAATGTATGTAAGACTGGAGCTTTCATCTTCTGTCTACAAATCATATTTCTCATATATACTCCTTTCCTTCCACCCATTTTATGGCTCAATAAATTTTGAGTCTGTATGCTTTTGACACTTGAAAACTTTTTAATATGTCTGCCTGCTCCAAAAGCTTTGCTTTGTTCTATCACTGTGGTGATGCTTCAAGTTCAAGCCTAGGGATACGTATAGCCGTTATGTCAGCTTTCTACAACTGGTCATTAAAGGTAGTTCACATTTCGAAAATAAAGGTGAAATTAAAGACTGAAGAGATAAGATTGATGGCAGTTCGCAAGAGAACCAGAAGGAAAATGAGGAGAATTCTTTTTTTTTAAACAGCAAGAGTTATTGAGTCGATACTGACTTTCAAAAGGGAATTGGGTAAATACTTGAAGGGGAAATATTTTCAGTGTTGTCAGGGACAGTTGGGCCAGAGAAAAGAGAAAGGATAGGGGATTGTCTCCTCTGGCTTGGTATTAAATACCAGAGGGTGAATGCTGGTCAGTCGGAGTCCTGTCATATTCTTGTCCAGTCTGAGTTTTATTACACACCACAAAGCCTAACCCTCCTGATTACTTGCTTTCTCTTAATCAATGGGCTGAATGGATGGTTTGTGGTGCAAAGTGACGTCCTTCAATTCCCACACTGGCTGAGGTTACCATGATGGCCCCACCTTTCCCCATTACTGAGGTAGGTGACCTCAGGTTAAACCACCACCAGTTGTCTCTCTCCAATAAGATAGTTGGCTTCTGGGACTATGCCAACTTTATCTTTTATATAAACATCACCTGCCCAACCTACTCAATCTCTCCTCATAAGAAAATCTCTCCATACCTGATATCAGCTTAGTAAACCTTCTCTGGCTGCCTACAATGCTAGGAATATCTTTCCTGAGATAAGGAGACCAAAAAACTATTCGCTGCATTGTGTGTGTGGCCTGACAATTGCTGTGTGTAGTTTTAACAAGACTTCCTTATTTTTACATTCTGTTCCCAATTATACAAAGGCTAACATTCCATTTGTTGATTTTCTAAATTTTCCCAATCATCCAGCTTACTGCTAATCCTTGCCACATTGTTTCTTTTTACTTTCTTTCAATTTGATACTGTCCTTAACTTCCATGGAACTTCCCTGCCCAAACCTGCAGCTACAGGTTAAACTGCAGACTTCAGTTTAATGCCAACAATAAAATAAATTGGGCTAAGTTAGATTTGTACAAGATAAAGATGTAGACTTTCCTATCCAACAGAGGCACATACTCACTCCTCGGCTGAACTGAGTTTGCTGGCTAAATTTATATGCTCCCAACACAGAGAGTCTATCACAGTCTCAGTCTCCATTTTTTGCTGGCTCTTAACTGTTCTACTCTTTCCTTGGAGCCCTTGGGAGAAACAAACCCTGCTTATGGCTAGTGACTACAATCTGCGTTTAATGCCAACTACAAAGCACAAACTAAATTGGGCTAAGTTCGGATTATACAAAGTAATGATTTTGACTTTCTTACTCAGCAGTTGCACACACTCAGTCCTAGCAGAGTGGGTGTCAATAGTCTTAAATAAATTACAGTGGAGCCTAACCATCTGATTTCCAGGCGTACTTGTTCCAGCACTTACTCGATAGTGATATTACATTGGCTGAATACTTAGGCTCCTTCACACCCTGCTTCTCCCACCTTAAGTCCAATATTGGTGAGTTCAACGTTAGCATTCAAAATTGGCTCTGGCTGAGATTAGGTCACATTTGTGATTGAACCTAGGGGATGTTTTCTCTGAAACTGTTCTGAAACTCAGCAGCCAGGACTCTTTACCAATGGGGTCATTGAGCAAAGCCTTGCTGCCTAGTGCATATTATGGACACTTTTATAAAATCACACTATAAATCGGAGCCAGATTGTGTTTTAAGCAGATGAGGGAAGTGTTAGAAGCTTGCAGCATAGAGAGATCATTCTAGCCATCGTGCCTGTATTATCTCATAGAAAGTGAATTTTTGCTTAGACCTACATCTCTCCACTTTTTCTGTGCAGACTCAATAATATTACTGTAGAATCTTAATGATGTTTGTCATCCAGTTGCCCAGTTGCTAATACAACATTTAATTTTGTTGCTTTACTGTAAATGTAAACAATTGTTTGCAACACCATACTGAAATGATCAAAGATGTTATGCAGTACTTAGAATGCTGAAATGTATCTTGGTCAATTTCTCCTTTGTTACAGACAATATCAAATCTCGACCTCAGGCCTGCAGCCAGACACTGTATTTAGTTCCTGGATTTGAAATAATGCAGATATTTTTGAGCCATCATGTTGCCATACCTGAACTGTACCTGCTCCTGGCTGCATTGGTTTTACAGAAACCAATTGATGAGATGCCAGAGGATTCCAAGGTAGGGATTTTCTAACTGTACAAAATCGACCAGGCTGCTTTTGTTGTGCTGTTATAACTGCAGGATTAACTCACTTTAATACTTTACTATATTTGCTGAAATGTAAATCAACACACTGTTTTGAGAGAGGTCAAGCAAATAAACATTAATGTTCTATGTTTGAAAGCACTCCATGGAAACACCACCACCTGCAGGTTCCCCTCCAAGCTACTTACCATCCTGACTTGGAAATATCTCATTGTTTGTTCACTCTCACTAGACGAAATTTAATTTGGATAAATGCGAGGTATTGCATTTTGATAAAACAAACAAGGGCAGGACTTATGTAGTTAAAAGAACAGGGCGAGCTAGGGGTTCAGGTACATAATTCTTTGAAGTTTGTGCCACATAGAGATAGGGTGGTTAAGAAGGCATTTAGCACGTTTGCCTTCATTGTTCAGATCTTTGAGAATAGGACATTATATTGAGGTTATACAAAGTGTTGGTCAGGCCTCCTGTGGAGCACTGTGTCCAGTTCTGGTTGCCCTGTTATAGGAAGGGTATTATTAAGCTGGAGAGGCTTCAATAGAAATTTACCAGGATGTTGCTGGCAAGGGTGCGTTTGAGTTATAAGGAGAGACTTTTTTTGCTGGAGCATAGGAGGTTGAAGGGTGACTTTTATGAAGGTTTATAAAATCATAAGGGGTATGGATAAGATGAATGACAGGTGTCTTTTCCCTAGCGTTGGGGTTTTCAAGACTAGGGGGCATATCTTTAACATTAGAGGAGAAAGATTAAAAAAAAAGACCTGGGGACAATTTTTTTCTACATAGAGTGGTTCGCATGTGGAATGAGCTTCCAGAGGAAGTGGTGGATGCTGGTACAGTTAGAACATTTAAAAGACATTTGGATAAGTACATGGAAGAGAAATGTTCGGAGGGATATGGGCCAAGCACAGGCAGCTGGGACTAGTTTACTTAAGATTACGATTAGCATGGACTGATTGGACTGAAGGGTCTGTTTCTGTGCTGTATGACTCTATGACTCTAAAACCCTGGAACTCCCTTCCTATGAGCATTGTGCATATACCTTCAGCACATGGACTGCAGTGGTTTATGAAGGCTTCTAAAGGGCATCTAGGGATGGGCATAATTGTTGTTGCAGCTAGTGATATTCGTGGTCCATGAGTGACTAATAAAAAAAGTCCTGCACGGGAATTTCACCCTAGATCATGTACACAAACCTTTGGAGTAAGGTTTGAATCTGTCACCTCCTGATTCAGCGGTGAAAAGTCCAACATTGAACTGAAGTTGAAAATAAAATGTGAGCTCTATTTGATAAACCTGGGAAATAAAGGATATTTCATCAGTGAATCCTGAAAAAAGTCCATCTGCCTGCAGTTCCTTTTCACTGCTTGTTGTTCACCAAAACTTGTCTTTTAATAAAAGTGAAAGCTTCATACTATATACTTTTGGTGCTACAGAACTGTCATTCAGTCAACGGACTGTGGCAATACGACAAACCAAATGGACAGATCTTCATTGCTGACGGAATCTGTGCCTCTATTATCCCCGCTGATTGTCCAGTGGCATATTTGATTGAAAGTTTTGAACATGAGTGCTTTATGAAACTACATTCTGTATACACTGAAGAGATCAAACAAACCTTTGCTATCCCATTATGTATAGACTTTTCTGAGGAATTCTTGGGACAGTTATTACAGATATAGGCATGACCACATCGTTCCTGTTTTTATAGAAACCTACCTGTAATGGTATTTTGCTAGCTGGCTAATGTTACTTTAGGTCTAATACAACGGTAAATATAACTATTTGCACTTGATTACTCGTGCTAATGATGGATTAGAGTTTGAGGGTATTAAAGTCTTGTGGTATCTGAATTATCACCATGGTGACATGCATGTAGCATGTTCGGTGACGCAAGAGATTTTAGAGACTGTTGAGTCCGCACAACCAGAAAAGTCCTGCCAGCATAGTTGAAGGTCATGGAGACCGGAGTTGTGGTTGTAATTGAGTGTAAGAACAATGAGTGACAGCTGGAAGTTGTGGAGAATAAGTGAGCGTGTATAATTACTGAAAATGGCTTTCGTGAAGCAGAACAATAACATGTGATTCACAGCAGGGTGGAACAAGGTGCATTTATGTGTTCTACACTGCCGTGCATAATTGTATAAGAAGATCTGATCAAGATGAAACAGTGGGACAATTAATTAACAATATGTAGCTTTATGTATTTTTGTAGTAACATGATCCCCATCACCTCACTATCGGTGGAGATAAAATGTGGCTACTGAAATCATATTGTAAAGCAGTTTGATATGGCATATGTGGGGAATGGCCTTAGTGCCATACCTGAATGTGTGTAGAATGTTAATATTAAACGAATAATTTACTGACTCTTAAATTCCAATTTTTCACAAGGATTTGGTCTGGATCCTTAATTTTGTTAATCTGCCTGCGTGAAAAATGTTTTACAAATTCTAAGAGTATTTCTGGTCAAGGTTCTGTTAAAAATATGTGTCATGAAAATCCACTAAAGTGTCAAACCAATTGAATGAGAACAGAGAAGACAACTCAGAACATCCAGGTCTCCTCCATGCCATGACTGACTTCAGTTAGCAATCTTGGAATGTTTCTGACATGTGAAAAATGAATAAACCTGTCAATTTTAAAAGGAAAAGTGAAGTGCACGGAAGGTGAGGTGCAGTGTTTAAACAGTAGTTCATGACATGCACTTAGTGAATGAAAAGCGGCCAGGTTTTTAAAAGCATGAATTGTATTTTCTAGATGGACCTTGACATGATGATTACTTGGCTCCTTGAGCAAGTGAAATCAAATCAGTGCGAAAAGTCTGTGAAAATCCCGAATGGATTGTGTACTGAAGCTGCTTTGGTTTTGCTGGAGATGGTGAGAGCTACATTAAGCAAGGTGAGACCGTGCACTTGATGTTGAAATGTGCTTTCAGATGTTGGGCAGTGAAGCACAAACAGTGCCTCTTAACTAGCACAGTACCACAGAAACACATTCTGTCTTTGCATCACCTCAAGTGGTTCACCACTCAGTATAACTCTGGCAGACATGTAGCAAATCCTAGTGTACAGAGGAAGGTTGCTCCAACTGGTACTCCCAATAGGACAGACTTCTCAAAAGCAGTGAAGGCTTGTAGACTTACTGCCAGGTCCTCAATGTCTTAAGTCATCGCTGTTATTGGTAAATTATGGAAACGTCGAGCAATAGCGTCATACAGCATGGAAACAGGCCCTTCAGTCCAACCAACCCATACCGACCATGTTCCCAAACTAAACTAGTCCCACCTGTCTGCGTTTGGCCCATATCCCTCCAAAACTTTCCTAATCACAAAATACTCCAAAAGTCTTCTAAACATTGTAACTGTACCTGCATTTACCACTTCCTCTGGCAGTTCATTCCATACACTAACCGTACTCTGTGTTTTTAAAAAAAAAAAAGTTGCACCTCTATTCTTTAAATCTTTCTGGTCTCACCTTAAACTTATGCCTTCTAGTTTTGAACTGTCCCACTTTCGGGAAAAGATCTTTGTTATTCACCTTATTTATGTCCCGCATGATTTTAGAAACCTCAATAAGGTTCACCCTGCCCCTTAACCTCCTACGATCCAGTGAAAAAAGTCCCAGCCTATACATAACAAAGCAAAAGGATTTGCCTGTGTGGTGATTCCCAGAAAACTTCAAGTCTTGGGCTTTATGGAATATCTGCAGAAGAATCTCTGGGTGATGTTCAAGTACAATGCAGTGCAATCATTGTGAAGTAATATTTCCTGAAGAAGTCACAAATAGATGGAGTTGAATGTCTGAATGTGTGTAAAAGTTGACATGCTGAAGTTCTGTTCTATTGCCATCCTGTTTGAGTAGCCATCCCTTGTATCTGAACCTGGGCAGGGAGAAAATGGTTGACTTTTCTTTCGCTCAGTTCTGCACACATACACCCTCCAGAGGCAGTTACTTGAAAGCAATAAGAGACAGGAAGCCAGGTGGAATTTTTCCTCCCTGTTCCAAGAATGCTGAGCTTTTTGTGCATCGGTTACTACTGAACATAATTCAGCTAATTCTGTATTAGAAAGGACCCTTCACCAAAACCATTGTACAGCTGACTAGTGAGTTGGGAGTATACTTAACCGTTAAGCTCTCAAGCTGCTTAATATAACCAAGACTGCTGAAAGTTATTTGTGACAAACCAGTTAACTATTTAAAGAATCAGCATGTCAACATTGCTGTTAATTAACAATGCTAAAAAAAAGGTATACCACTTGTTTGAATTATAGTTTGTTCTTTCCTTCCTCAGCTTATGCTTTTCCACACTCTCCATTTGTCAAGTCCTTTCAAATCTGTTTCTAGGAAATTTCATTTTGAATATTGCTGTCTTTTCCCATTGCCTATTTAGGGTACAACATGTTAAAGTGTTTGAGCTAAAATTCTGATGTTTGTAGGCTAAATCTGATGCTATTTTGAACCAATTAGAATGGCCTGATCAAATAAATAAATAATTAGAGTTCACTTCTAGTTTCACTTCTTAGGATGTGAACATTTTTGGGGAAACCAGAAGTGTTTATCGAAATGGCAACTCTTGATGATAATAGTAATGTCTAATTAACAACTCGAACATCTTTGGACAGATGAGAGTTTTACAAATTTGAATTAGTTACTTCGAAGAGATAGCTTTGTGCTTCAAAGACTCCCAGAGTATTTGGTTGTTTTTAATTTTGTTTACTGTAAGTAACTTATCATGTATACAAATGACATTTGATAGTTGGCTACACTGAAGAATCTCTGCAAGATTTGCATAATCAGTAAAACAGTCAGAGAGCCATACAACACGGAAACAGACCCTTCGGTCCAACTCCTCTGTACTGACCAGGTTTTCCAAACTGAACTAGTTCCATTTGCCTGTGCTTGGCCCATATCCCTCTAAGCATTTCTTATTCAAGTACCTGTCTAAATGTTGTAACTGAACCCGCATCTACCACTTCCTCTGGTGAGTAAACTGCTGAATGTACAGAGAACTCAGTGGATCGAAAGGTTAACATTTGTATCTCCTGCAAGAAGGAAGTCATTTCCAGCAACAAAAGGAAATGCAATCCCAGAGGAATTAGTTAAGCAAGATTTTAAAAACCATAATCACGATAAACCTATTTATTTGGCAGATAATGATTGCTTGATTTTCTTACAGGAATGGGAGGTAGGTTAGTCCTTGCTATTGTAGAGTGAAGCAGGTTTTATCCCACAACTGGTTGTGAAGTTCAAAAATCTTCTGTAGACTCTCAAATATTATTTTTACAGAGGGTCATGGAGTTTTTGAAATGTTTAGCTCCATGACAAAGCTGTGCTTCAAATATTTCATAAGGAAATGCTGATTCTGTAAAATATGGTGAGTTACCGCTTGGGGTACAATTATATCGTTCAAAAGACAATTGAAGAAGTACATGAATAAGAAAGGTTTGGGGGGATATGAGCCAGGAGCAGGCGGATGGGACTAGTTTAGTTTGGGAAATCTGATTGGCATGGACTGGTTGGACTGAAGGATCTTTTCTGTGCTGTGTGACTCTATGATCCTATGACTGTTTGGAACATCTGAGAGGAAAATGCATTTCAGGGGGTTTATATAATGTTAAAACTTGATTAGTTCTGAGTAACATTTACAACTGGAGCTTTGTTACTGCAGGAGACATGCATAATGCCATACTTTAACAAATAATAAGGATTAGTGAATCTTGCTGGCATGGTCAGTTGGCAAAGTTTTACAGGGTAGACAAACAGGAAGCTGGAAGAACACAGCAGGCCAGGCAGCATCTGGAGGAAAGGAGCAGTCAATGTTTCGAGTATTACCCTTCTTCAGGACTGGATGTGGGGTTAGGGGGAGCTGCAGATAACGGGTGGGGGGTGCGTGAAGAAGGGGTGGAGGCAGAATGGTTGTGATAGGTGGATACTGGTGGTAGGTACGACCTGGTTGGTCTATGGGAGGGATGAATCTGGTTGGTGGCTGGAAGGGAGGGTCAGAAGGTGGAATGGAAGGGAGGAGGTGGGGCTGGAAGGGGAGCTGGGGGATGGGTGACAAGGTTATTTGAAATTAGAGAAGTCAACGTTAAGTCCTGCAGGCTGTAGGGTGGCCAGGCGGAAGACAACGTGTTGATCCTCAAATTTGCGTTCTGAGTCACTGAGACACTGGAGGAGGCCAAGGATGGATATGTCGGAGGGGGAATGGGACAGTGAGTTGAAATGGGCAGTGACCGAGAGGTTAGGCCATTACGGGCCAGGTGAAGCTCGGCGAAACGGTCAGCTAGTCTCTGTTTGGTCTCACCCACATGGAGAAGACCACGTCGGGAGCACCGGATACAACAGACTAGGTTGGAGGAGATGCAGGTGAAGCTCTGTCTCACTTGGAAGGGCTGTTTAGGGCCCTGGATGGAGGTGAGGGAGGTGATGTGTGGGCAGGTGTTGCATCTTTTACGGTTACAGGGAAAGGTAGTGGGCAGGTTGGAGTGGTTGATGGGCAGTGTGGTGCGAACTAAGGAGTGGTGAAGGGATCTTCCGCCTGGGCACCCTACAGCCCAGAGAACTCAACATTCTGCCTCCACCCCTTCTTCACGCACCCCCCACCCTTTATCTGCAGCTCCCCCTAACCCCACATCCAGTCCTGAAGAAGGGTAATACTCAAAACATTGATTGTTCCTTTCCTCCAGATGCTGCCTGGCCTGTTATGTTCTTCCAGCCTCCTGTTTGTCTAGCTTGGATTCCAACATCTGCAGTTTTTTTGTCTCTAACAAAGATATGCAGGAGCTCCTCTCTCTGCTCAGGTTGTTTGATTTTTTTTTTTTCAGTAGACATGAGAATCACTGGCAACGTTATCACCCATCCCTCAGTGCCCTTGAGGAGATGGTGAGTCACTTCTTAACCTGACAAGGCCATTCAGTTGTATTTATTTCAGAGGGCACTTAATTGTTTGCTACATTGCCCTTGGCCAAGATGATTGATTTTCTTGAAGAAAATCAGTAAACCTGATGGAGTTTTGTGCCAATCTAGTAGTTGCCATAATTGATGCTAGGTTTTCGCTGCAGACTTATTTAATTAACTGAATTTAATTACCCCGTTGCCGTGGTGAGATTTGATCGCATGTCTCTGAATCTTTGGTTCAGGATTTTGGATTACCAGCCCGTAATATAATTTTACATCTTGTATTCCTTGCAAATTACTCAATTTAGCAAGCGCAAAGAATGTTCTCGCAGGCAGCTCTGATGAAGAGTCATCTAGACTCAAAATGTTAACTTGCTGTCTCTTCGCGAATGCTGCCTGATCCACTGTGATCTCCAGTGTTTTTTTGTTTTCAGAATGTTCTTGCAGCTCAGCGTCTAAGTGAAGAAAAGGTGTTCCTCCCATTGAAGCTTGTTGTCCTGTTGAAGTGCGCAAAATTCTTTAAGGGCTGAACAGGGTAGATGCAGGAAGGATGTTTGATTTCCCCTGGCTGGAGTGGCTAAAGCAAGGGGAGCGCAGTCTCCCTATAAGGGGTTGGTCATTTAATACTGGTTTGAGGAGGAATGTCTTCACTCAGAAGGTGAAGAAAATTTGGACTTTTCTAACCATAGTCCAGCGGAAGTTCAGTTATTGAGTGCATTCAAGAAAAAATAGACACATTTCTAGATATTAAAGACACCAAAGGTGCAGGGAAGTGACAAAGAGGTAGATGATCAGCCATGGTGTGTTTTAATGGTGGAGCAGGCTCAAGGGGCTAAATGGCCTATTTCGTTTCCTATTCTTGAATGTTCCCAATATTCAAACAAAAGGTTAACATTTAGATACTACTGATTTTGGTATTCCAAGCATTGGTCACCCATTCTGTAAAGAAGTTGGTTCTAGTTGCTGTTTTAAGTTTACGTTTCACTGATTTGAATCAATGCCGCCTTGTTTTACTTGTCTGAATTAATTATTTGCTTTATTTTGAGCGTTTTTTCTTTGTCTCTGCGCCAGTTAATTTTTTTCTTTGTCCCTCAATAGTTCCTCCCTTTATCTTCTCTCTTGAATGTTGACCTGGGCCATCTCTGAATCGTCCTCACTGTTCTTCCCCTTTGCTTCTCCTTTGTCTATGTTTGCCACAGCTTTAGCTGCTGTTTTGTCTGCAGCATTTCAGAATTACTAAACTGCAATGCTGACCAGCCACAAGATGCTTAAAGCTGATTGTTACGCAAGTTTGAAGTTCAAAATTGGTCAATAATTGGATTGTTGCTGTTCTTAGCCAATCTCTGCAGATACAGATAACTCGTGGGAGGTCACTTATCCTGGCAGTGTGATGCAGTTCTTTTGCCTGGTCTACCACATGATCCCGGATGAGCCTTTGTGGAGGTCACCAGAGTTTCTTCATAGCCTGGCAGCAGTTGGTTTCCCTATGGCTGGATCACTCTGCTACATGGTATGTACTGTCAATGGAGTTTAGCCCCTTTGCTGCAATGAACTTTTGATGAGTTTCCTCACGCTGGTGTGAAAATGTATCAGATTGCAATGTGAAGCACTTAAGTTTCCTGCAGCTGTCTTGTTAGCAAATCACGCAGGGTTTTACTGTAGAGACATGAATGGGCCACACGGTGCTAACCACTGAGCCACTGCTGCCTCAGAGCCCCAGGGACCCCGGGTTCGATTCCACCCTCAGGCGACTGTCTGTGTGGAGTTTGCGCTTTCTCCGGATGCTCCGGTTTCCTCCCACATTCCAAAGATGTGCAGGTTGCGTCGATTGGCCATGCTAAATTGCCCGTAGGAATGTGTAGGTTAGGTGGATTAGCCGTGGGAAGTGCAGGATTACAAGGATAGGCTAAGGGGGTGGGTCTGAGTGGGATGCTCTTTGGATGGTCAATGTGGACTTGATGGGCCAAATGGCCTGCTTCCACACTGTAGGGATTCTATGATTCCACATTTCTACGATTGTATACAAGGCCCCCCCACCCCGGAGCAGTGGTAGTGTCCCGATCTCTCGGCTAAAAGGTCCACATTCAAGCCCCACTTCCCATGGAGATGTGATATAACAACTCTGAACAGGTTGATTTTTTAAAAAAAAACCCTGATGGTGAATATTGGAAATATCATCCATTTTTCAAAATGTATCAGCTTCTGAAAGAGACAAAACAAACTGGCATTTTGGGCAGGATTTAATGCCCCTCCAGCCCACCCAGGGGGATGGGAGAGGTTGGGCTCCTTGTTCAAATGTAGTCTGTGTCTGATCCAGGGTCTCGGTGGGAAATGTGGGGAGGGGAACCCAACAGAAGCCAAAACCTTATGCCCTTGGCCGTTCACTGTCCCCATCCTGTGGTTGGCACCCATCTCCCTGGGATCCCTATCTTGACCCACTTCCATGTCTTTGGAGCATTTGTTGCTGATCCCCTGCGTAGGTTCCGGTGCAGTGCTGAGAGTGATCTCATGGCCCTGCTGTCGCTGCAGAGTCTTAGCCAACATCCAATCCAGACTAATAGGTTCTCTGACCCATTATACCGTGGTTTGCACAGAACCCTGATGATCACATACTCCCTGCTGATTAGAAACTTTAGATAACAAGGTGTAGAGCTGGATGAACACAGCAGGCCAAGCAGCATCAGAGGAGCAGGAAAGCTGATGTTTCGGGCCTAGACCCTTCTTCAGAAATGGGGGAGGGGAAGGGGATTCTGAAATAAACAGGGAGAGAGCGGGAGGCGGAGAGATCCACTGAGGTCTTTCCAGAGGGAGGAGGGTAACTTCTTCAAGGTAGGCATCCTTAGAAGAGGCTTTGCAGTGGGGTTAAAATTGTTTCAGAGATAGTAGGAACTGCCAATGCTGGAGAATCTGAGATAACAAGGTGTAGAGCTGGATGAACACAGCAGGCCAAGCAGCATCAGAGGAGCAGGAAAGCTGACGTTTTGGGCCGAGACCCTTCTTCCTTTCTGTTTGTTTACTGCATGGGGAATGGGCACCAGATTTGTCTACAAGATAACAGGTTTCCTGACACACACTTTAAAATTGTGCCTTTGACTGTAAGCCCAACCCTATTGAAGGCTCATATCTGAAATGTTAACATATTCTTATCCTTTCCAACGGATTTTGCTGCTGTTTCAATGTAACATATTAAACTCCTGTAGTTCTCACTCTTCATATATCTTGGCACCTTCTGAATTTATGGAAATTGGAATGTGCCTTCGTACTCCAGAGGTTAACTTACACCAGGTTACCTGCACTGCAGCTGTCGGCTAAACAGGTGTCAGACCACACCTTTGTACAGGTGTAACATGAGATTCATGAAGTTAATGAAACCAGGATCTTTTAAAGATTTGAGGCCAGTGGAATAAAGATGGTTGGGAAAGCCTAGTTTAAGGTACAGACTATTCCTAATGGCCATCATCTGTGAACACTCCTGATCCATCAAGCGACCATGGAGAGAGAACTCCTGGTCTTTAATCAGCTGAGTTCAGTTGGTGGAACTCCTATTGCTAGCTTTGTGTGACCACAGGAACAAGATTAGTCCTGAGTGTGACTGACAGTTCAGTGGCTCAGTGGTTAACACTGCTGCCTCACAGCGCCAAAGACTCACATTCGATTTTAGTCGTTGGTAACTGTCTGTGTGGAGTTTGCATGTTCTCCCCATGTCTGCTTGGGTTTCCACTGGGTGCTGAGGTTTCCTCCCACTTTCCAAAGATGTGTGAGTTAGGTGGGGCAGCTGTGCTAAATTGCACGTAATGTCCATGGATGTTCTGACTAGGTGGATTAGCTATGGTGAAAACCTCATGTGGGGTTAAGGGAATAGAGTAGTGCACTGGGTCTGGATGGTATGCTGTTTGGAGGGTTGGTGCAGACTTGATGGGCCAAATGGCCTCTTTCCTCACTACAGGGGATTCTGTGGTTCAGTGACAATTACCTGGTCTCCTTGACACAAAAGGAATTTTCCTCTCCTCGTAGCCTCTTGAACTGCTTTCCTGATGGTTCAACTTGGTCTCTAACAGCTGTTTGTTTGGTCCTTACCCCTCACAGCAATTTGGTTTCTGTCTACAGTGAGCCCTTGGCCTTCGGTATTTATCAACAACTCTTAAATGCACCATACTCCAGGCTCTGTCCCCATCCGTTGAGTCTCAGTTTTGTTTAGTCTATAATGATGTAATGCAGTATCAAATGATACCACTCAATTGTTATCACTGGGCAGGCCCTGGTCTTTGTAGCCCAATAGATGATTCCTGTAGTGACTTTAGTGCTACGGATTAAAGTATCAAAGCAGTTTGCTATAAGCAGGTATGAAGATTATTTCTTGTTACATTTTAATAAAAATTAGATTAATAACCAGCTTCAAAATAGACAGCCCGGGTGTGTTCTCTAAACAGTTGCTCTGAACCAATCAATGAAGGGAACTTTATAAACCAAATTTTAAATGAAGACGTCTGCATCCTTTTAAAACTTTTAAAGATTCTGACCGTCATCCTTATCTTTGCATCTCATAATTTTATAGACTTCTATGAAGTCTCCCTTCAGTCTCTGCCGCTCCAGAGAAAACAACCCGAGGTTTTCTAGCCTCTCCTTATAACTCATACCCTCTAATCCGGGCATCATCCTGGTAAATCTCCTCTGTGCCCTCTCCAAAACATCCACATCCTTCCTGTAATGTGATCACCAGAATTGAACGCAATATTCTTAAGTGTTGCCTAACCAAAGTCTTATAAATCTGCGATGTGACATCCTGACTCTTGTACTCAATTTCCCAACCAATAAAAGCAAGCATATCATACTCCTTCTTTACCACCCTATCTACTTGTAATTATTTTTTACAAAGATGTAAGAAGTGTTTTTTGCTCATTCCAATCATTTCATTGATCAGTGATTGTGAGTACGGTGAATCATCATGGATCGTGTGATTATGAGTATGGTGAATCATCATGGATCATGTGCTGTCAATGATTAGTGACTACATTCTCTTTTAGACCCTTGGACTTTAGGGTTGCCTTATGAGTCACAATAGCACCAATTGACAGATGGATTCCCAGAGCATATTTGAGCCCTTGGCTTAAAAACAGCTTTCAGAAAGAACAACATCCCTTATCTTCAATGAATAGGGTGACCCATGTCACATAGTGAGGCTAATTTTACATTTAGCTGATGAGGTGAGATAGAATGTATTGATTTGCCTGTCAGTAAAGTACCTGTCTGATTCCTTAATTTCATTGATTTTCAGTGGAAAGTAAATTGATTCTACTGTCTCGTGGGCAGCAATCTCTCTCACCCATGTTCTATTACTCTCAAAGATTTAGTTACTCCTTGTTCTCACTTATATTTTTGGACTTGCTGTGGTTTTCCATTAAGCCTAAAGTTGGCTGGTTTTAAACATGTCCTTTTGATTTTGACCCAGAGAGCACAGATTTTGTTCTGCTCTTAACAGCAATTTCAGAAAGGACAAATTCAAACTTTCACTGCATCATCTTATTTCAAAGTGAGCCTGTGATCAGTTGTTATAGTATCAGCTTAGGTACATCCAGTTTTATGTAGGATTTAAAATGTCGCTAAATGTTGTTGAGGACTGGGCTTTGTTCTAAAGAATTCCCCTTTTGCTGTCTCTGTCTTACACCTGTGTATCCATCATACCGGCACTCTCGTCTCTGAGTTGCAAGGTTCTCAGTTCAAGTCCCACTCCAGAAGTTGAACATACAATTTGACGTCAACTCTCCCATGCTGTACTGAAGAGGTCAAGAATGCCATTCTTCAGATGCAAGCTTCCCGCTAACCTTTCCCTGCCCCCCACAATCCCCCAACTATCCTTTTCAAGTGGATGTAAAAGAACTCCTGGCAGGGTTTCAAAGAGGCTCAGGAATTATTGTCTGTATTATGACAGGAACTACCCTTCAAGAATACTTCATTGGCTGTGAAGCACTCTGAGATATCTGGTGGTTGTGAAAAGCAATGTTTCAATTGAATTCTTTGTTCCCTTTCTTTCCATGTTCTTTAGGCTGATGCTGGAGCCTTACCGCAAGAAAGTCTGACTTCTACAGCTGGTGCCCAGCCTCACTTGTCAATACACCCTGCAAGGAAGCAAGTTTCAGATTTTATACACATCCTCCTTTTGTACAGCTTTCTGAACATTCCCGCCAACAAGCAGTTGCATCCTATTGAGATTCTGTTCGAGGTCAGTTTCATTTAAGTGTTGTGTAGGAAAGATAACTCTAGATGTTACACTGTCATTTCACAGTGTTGCTGTATTTCACTTTGAACCTCATGTCACTGGCAAGAAATGATTTGCTCAGTGCATTGCTTCAACATGTTCAACATAGTCTGATGATCTCCATTTACATTTCTCCTAAAGTTTTATTTCAAAAAAACCAAAAGATGAAAAAACAATTATAACTTGAAACAAGAGTCATTATAAGCATCAATGACCTGCATAGAAATGCCATTGTGCTAGGAGTATATTTAGTTCAATATCAGAAACAAGTAAGCCAGGTTTCTTTTAGTTAACAAATTAAAACGAATTTATTACAATCAAAATTTATTCAAGTAAGAATGCAAAGGTTATTAACAAAAGGTTTGGACTGTGCAAATATATGTATAAGTATCCTTCTTGAAAATATATGTATAAATATCCTTCTTGAAAACTAACACAAACCCAGAGTCTGGGGAAATGTAAAACTCTGCAGAGTGATGTCTTAAAATTTTGGCCAAGTAATAGTCAAGCTCAGAAGTAAAAGGATTATTGATGCTTTGACATTGTGTTGATCTGTTGTGGCCTAAGTTGTTTTGTACATGCAAGCTATTGGAACTGGAGTATTTTTCCTGGATCAGTTGTGGCTGACTGAAGTCTCATTTCTGGAGACAGAGAGAGAGAGATTTAAGGTAACACCATGTGGAGCTGGAGGAACACAGCAGGCCAGGCAGCATTAGAGGAGCAGGAAAGTTGACATTTCAAATTGGGACCCTTCTTTAGAAAGCTTCTCCTTCTGAAGCAGGGTCCTGACCTGAAACGTCGACTTTCCTGCTCCTCTGATGCTGCCTGGCTGTGTTCCTCCACCTCCACACTGTGTTATCCCTGACTCCAGCATCAGCAGTTCTTTCAAATCTCTCTCTGAGATAGTGTTCTTCATCACCACGAGTGACAAAGAGGCATTCCAGTGGGCTTTCAACTCTCTCATTTTGAGAGGAGTTTCAGAGAAAGAGAGAGAGTTGTGGGGGGCAAAGAGCTGTTACTCATCGTGCAAGTTGCTGATTGTCTTTTTCAATATTCAAAGTATTTCCACCCACAAACTGGGTCATGTGACCTCTATTTGGAAGTATTACAGACTGGATGGCTCCAACCAGAAGCCTGTTCCTTGCAAATGCAACATTGGCCCAGTTGTGTCAGTGTCCTTTTATTCCCCACAGTGTCCTTTTTCAGAAGTTCAAAATGTGGATGAGTCTAGCCAATGTTATTATAAATGTGAATTTGCATCTCATGTCTTTGTAACACAGTCAGATTGTGAAGTGTCATTAGTTGAGGGCCAAGGCAAGAGAGGGATTTGGAAATGATGAATTGCTCAGGTTAGGCACCAGTGTCATTAAGGACCCACTACTCTTGGTCTGGAAAATTCCCTGCAAGAGTAGCACATATGTATCTTGAGCTTCAATAAATTGTTTCTCTTTTGCATTCAATGACCGTTTGTGCCCTATTTCCATACCCATTGATTGCTTTAGTGACAACTGTTTTAAGAATATTCCCTCAGACGCATGACCGGTTCATACCCACTTTGATTTGGTGCTGGTAAGCAGCCTCTTCTATACAGTGTCCAGGAGGAGCGCCCAAATTTCCCCCACATCTCCCAAGGTGCTACCTGTAGCAGACTGGGAACAACATAAATCTTTCTATTCATAAAAATATGCCAAACTGAATGCTGCACTGAAAAGATCACAGCTTGTTGAGTTTACAAGAGTCTGGAAATACCAGAGTAAATACTTCAAAGTTAGTTAATGAATCCATTTAAAGTAATAAAAGGACGTGGTAAGGGAATGTTAAACTGTTGCCTGTAATTAGTGCTAACAGTGCATTTCAGTAGCATTGTGGAAAAACAATTCATAAACTTGTATTTTGGGTAATTATTTGTTGGATATAATTTCTATTTTTACAAGTGTGCATTTTCTTTACCTGTAGGTGTCACCAGAGAGAGCTACTGGCAACCAGAAGCAGAGTTTTCAAACTGAGATCCTACTGTTTGTCATGGACATATTTCACGTCATCAGTGAGGAACAAACTGTAGTGAAGGACTTGGTTGGAAATGGTCAGTCATGCATCAGAACCTTGATATTCATTCTCATGAACTTGAGCCTGGAACAAATTGCCTAACGAAAGATATCTAGCAAACGTTTGGTATCCAAAATTCTTGCTGCCCATATCCTACTTTGCACCAAGTTGTATTTACTGGTCACCTCAGTGCTCACTGGACAACATTGTTTCCTGGTCTGAGCAATTCCTCATCTCATCATTGTTTCCCAAAGCCTCATCCCTCCCTGTGGCTGCGATATTCTTTCTCTGATCCAGCCCTCACATGCAGCAGCAACTTGTAATATTCCTCTGTTCATGCCGGTGCCCCCAACGGTCCAGATTGTAAGCTTTGAAGTTCTGTAAAAACCTTTTCCTCTCTGAATACTACATCATAATACTTTTTTTTTGTTTCCCTCTCTTGTTAAATAGGCCAGAGATCTACACGCAAGGCCACTGAGGGGAACTCAGCTACAATGTTTGAAAATATCACCTATTTCAGCCAAAAATTTGTTGACAAGCTGTATGCTAGAATGTTTGATGTGAACCCTGAAAAAATTCTCCGTTTCTTAACGGAACAGATTTGTATGGTAAGTAACTTTGTTCCGGTCTACCAATGAAGAAGCTTTGTCTTTGCAGAGTGAATTGCATGATTTAAATCAATAGCTATCCAGAATGGGAAGTAAATAGTGTTAACAAGAAGTGAAAGAAATATTTTTAATAACCACCGTTCCATATTGAACAAATATACCTGCACTGAAATAAGACTTTCCCCCAAATTAAAATGACTTACCTCAATTTGTGTCAGGTTAATTCAGAAAAGAAAAACAATGAAACAGAATAGACTGTCTTATTCTGTACAGTTTTACTTCAGTCTATCATTTTGATGAAAATGAAACAGGTAGCACTGGTAAACTCAAAAATAATGAAACCAAACAAGCAGAGGAAATAGCACTGAAAATTCTAGAAAAGTATTCACCAGAAACTCTCTTTATGCCCCGTAACTGCAAAATTTTCAGATTTTATTTTCTCTGTGTAGTTTAGGTATGAAATATGCAGATCAGTACAGCAGGGAGAAAAGACAGTCAGAAGTCACATGACACCAGGTTATAGTCCAACAGGTTTATCTGAAATCGCAAGCTTTCGTAGCACTGCTCCTTCGTCAGGTGAAGTGATTTCTGACTTTGTTCACCCTCGTCAAACACTGGCACTTCCACATCATGGAGCAAAACACAGTAGTATCTAATTTTACAACTCTGATTTGAACATTTCTGTGGAAACTCCTAAGCACTTTAAGAGGATGAAGATCCTATTTCCCTTCTGAAACACAGACTTATACCCATTTGGCATGAATTTCTACTTGATTCAGCATGACAGAATGATTTGCTTGCCTGCAGTTAAAGGTTCTATATAAATGCGTGATGTCGTTGCAGTTTTTTTAAACCTACCACCTCAGTTTCCCTCCCAACTTCCATTTATAAAAAAAAACATTAAACAGTCATGAATCAGGTCACTTACCAAAACTTTCCCTCTGGTTTTAGCAGCTTAACTTCCCAGTAATTCAGTCAGTGCCTTATTACTGCTAATTGCTATAGCTTTGAAAGGGAGTCCATGTTTTAAGGACAAATAATTTGTGTTTATATGGAACCCTAATGAATCCACAGAACATCACAGTCAGTTGCTTTTATGTCGACAAATGCACCACTGTACAAGAAACAGAAAATATATAATTGATCACTTTTGTGCTGGTGATAATTGAAGAAAGAACATTGAACAAGACAATAGGGGCAACTCTTCTGCCTTTGGGCTTTTTTTATATATCTAGCTAAACAGGCGGGTTAGCATTCAGCTTACTGTTTCATCAAGACAGTGAGAACCCCAATGATATAGCAGTCCATCGCAATGAGCTGTGATTAATTTCAAAAATCCTCTGACCCAGAGTGCAATCAACTGAGCCGAGCTAACGTGTTTTTTCACTTTAGCTCTCAACTTGCTTTACAGTTTTCTGATTGAAAGAACTTCTTTGGGTCTGGTTTGCATTTCACAAGCAGATTCAATGATAATAACTCACAAGTGGTCAACATATGAATGAGTCTTTGGAACACCAAAAATGGGGGAAACCAGAGACCAGTGTCCAATCCACTTCAAATTGTTCAGGAAATCCCCAACCGGTTTCCCTTTTAAATATCCACCCAGTTCCTCTTTGAATTTACTGTCTCCCTTCACTTCCACTGTAACAGTCTTTCCTGTAGAATCATGACTCTGAACATAGAATTCCTACAGTGTGAAGCAGACCATTTGTACCATCAGGTCCACATCAACCCTCTGAAGAACATCCCACCCAGAACCCCAAATCTATCCCTGGCCAATCCTCTTATCTCACATGTCCCTGGACACTTTGAGGAATTTAACATGGCCAATCTACCTAACACCTCTTCAGACTGTGAGAGGAAACCAGAGCGCAGACAGGGAGAATGTGCAAACTCCACAGTCATCCTAGAGTGGAATCAAACCCAGGTCCCTGGCGCTGTGAGGCAGCAGTGCTAACTACTGAACAACTGTGTCGTCCTGACATGTTATAGTTAACTTGGAAGTGTTTGCTTCAGTTCTTCTCGTTGAGTACAAGTCTCTATAATTTACAATTTTTTTGCACTAATTATAAGGGTTCCATTTACTCTCATCCTGTTATAATTGACAACATCGCAGTGAAATTTTCTTTAAAGCTTTCTTTTTCAAGCTTAAGTATTTCCAATTTCCAAAGACCTCCTTAAGCACCATTCCTCTGGGTTGAACCCTCCCCAGGATTAAAAACAGGGATGATTCCAATGATGTTTTCCCAATTGTTGAAAAGCCTGCATTTTCTCATGACAATGTCCTCAACGCAGTGTAAATCAGATCATTGTTTGTAATGTGTGCTTATACTGTATTATAAGAGATAGTGAGGTTAACAAGGTGAATTAGTTTAAAAAACTCAGAGCTTTGCTGTGTATTTGTCCTTGATGGTTTGATCAAGGGTAATTAATCCATATTTACAATATCTGTACATTAAGAATTCCAATCAAATGGACTTTCTAAAGGAAAACTGCTCTGGTGACTAGATGATGTAACGTATGATTTTTGTGACACATATATTTGGATCGAGTTCTATATGAGAGGTTAGTGTGCAATATTAAAGCGTTGGTGTGGTGGTAATTTATTGATATGGATTGAGAATTGATTAGCAGACAGGAAACAAAAAGTAGAATAAATGGGATTTTTTTCAGCGTGGGAACTGATAACTAGTCAAATACCTCAGAGATCAGTGCTTGGTCCCAGCTATTCACAAAACAGATCAATGATTTGGATGAGGGAATTAAATATAATATATCTAAGTTTGCTGGCAACTCTAAATCAGCAGGAATTATCAGTGGTGAGGAGGCAGTAGTCAGGGGCTTCAGTGTGATTTAAACAAGTTGTATGTGTGGATCTGCATGGGTCAGTATAATGTGATAAGGATGACCTTATCCACTTTGGTAGGAAGAGCAGATTGGCAGGGTATTATTTAAACGGTGATTGATTGAGAAATGTTACGTCCAAATGGATCTGGGTATCCTTGCACACCATTCATTGAAAGGAAGCAGTTGGGAAGTTTTGTTGGCGAGGGAGCTTGAGTGCAGGAGCAGGGCTATCTCACTGCAGTTGTACAGAGCCTTGGTGAGATTGCACCTGGAGCATTGCGGGCAGGTTTGTTTTCCTTCCTTAGAAAACATGTCGTTGCCTTAGAAGGAGTTCAGCAAAAGTTGACCAGGTGAATTCCTGCGAAGGCAGATTAGCCCTATGGAGAGAGATTGGGTAAACTGGGCTTATATTCTCTGAGGTTTAGAAAACTGAGCGGTCGGGTTGGGGGTGGATGCTCTCATTGAAACATATAAAATTCTCTTGGGCTGGGTGGACTAAAAGGAGGGCTGTGTGTTCTAGAACAAACGGTCAGGGTGTCTGGATATAGGGCAGATCATTCTGGACTGAGATGAGAAGAAATTTCTCCACTCAAAAGGTGCTTATCATGTGGCATACTTTACTATATAAGGTGATGGTGGCCAAGTTACTGAATATACTGAAGAAAGAAATAGATTTTTGGACACGAAAGGCACCAAGGCACATTGGGAAGAATGGAGGAGGAGGTGTACGGTGTGAGACGAGGATTGGTCATGATCATGTTGAATGGCAGAGTAGCCTCAATGGATAGAAAGCTCCCTTTCTTTTATGTTTCAATTAGCATCACTGCATGCTGTTCATTACAGGGAGCTGTAATATACGCTAACGCGTTTGTTATTCTCCTCATAACCTACTGTTGGTCCTCAATCTGATTACTCTCCTGAATTTCCCTTCTTTCCCACAGGTAATGCAGCAAGCCTATTCCCAGAAGGATCAAATAATAAGCAGCCTTTACACCAGTTTGAACAGAGCCATTCTATATTGTCTGTCAAGGCCAAGGATGTTACCTTCTGACCTACTGATCTTGCTGAACACTCTTAAGTTCCTACAAGAACAATGGGACATCATTTTTGCAACGTATAACTCCAGCTTACCTTTCACCATTTGTCTCATTCACTGCCTTTGTCAAATAAAAGCTGGAAGGTACAATATCAATCAAATATCTCCACCATTATAAATAAGCCCTCTAAGGGAAAGACTCTACTTGATTTAAGTTCAACTTGTAACTTTCATTTTGAGATGAACAAGAAGTTGTGTTTATAATTGCTTTATTGTTGATGTACCAAAGCCCTTGTTCTTAATAGGTTACTTGGAAGTGTAGTGACCTTTGAATTTTATTTGGTAAATTCAACAATAATTAGCACATGGAAGATGAATGGCAAGTTGTTCTGTTCATGGCAGTCTTGGTTAACTGTGAAATTTTGTCCAGAATGACATTTTACTCTTCTTCATGGAATTGTCTCATTGAACTGGATTTTTCCCAGTTAGGTTGTGATTCCAAAGTTGGCCTCATTTCTGGGTTGGGGACTAGGTGGTGGTGTGGTGGGGTGTTGAATGTGATCTTCCAGGGGACAGCCCGTTAATGATGACAGGAGGACTGGGAAAAAGCAACAGGTGTAACTGCGGGGAGGGGGGAATCCTGCCAGTGACATGCAATTGGTCATCCCTTTGGGAACAATGGGCTTGATCAGCTGATGAGAGGACTGGAAGGTGGAGGCAATCTCTATAGAATTGTAAAAGACCATCTGTGGCAATCACTGTGAGGCCGTCACTGTAGGGGGTCTCCTGCCTGACCTGATAGTTCGTGACCCAGTTACTCCCTGCCTCTAGGAGAGAAGGGAGTTATAGAAGGGAACCCATAATGTGTTAAATGCGTTGCTATAGTGGAGACGCACAGCATACTTACAAAGTTTTGGGGTCGCTTAACTCATTTGGCTGATTCGCAGTGCAAAGTGATGCCAACAACGTGGGTTTAATTCCTGCACTGGCTGAGGTTATTATGAAGGTTCTGCCTCCTCAACTTCATCTCTTGTCTGAGGCGCGGTGACCCCCAGGTTAAACCACCGGCCGTCTTGCGGTCTCTCTAATGAGAGAGCAGCCTATGATACAGTGGGACTATGGTGATTTTGCAAGGTTTTACCGATCGGCACATCTTCTGCTCGTGGTTGTAATCACCATCTCCCATCCTGCCTCTGTTAAAAGCAGAGGTGACCGAGTTTGAGGTGTTTTCGGTTCCTGTTTCAGATTTTTAACATTTCAACTTCATATCTGATTCAAATCTACCAGGTTGCTTTTTAAGGATGGTACTGTGGTTAAAATTATCCCCAGAATGTTAAAATCTGGTCCAATATTTTAAATACCTGGAGAAGAAGAATGTGCAGGGCTATGGGAAGAGAGGGAGGGAAGGGCAGGGCATGTATTGCTCCATAGGAGGGCTAGCATAGAGGTTGAGTGGCCTTTTCTTCTATAATGATTCCATTATTCTATAAAACTAGTTCTTGGGGACAGACAGACAAACATTAGACTTTGGTAATGGAGCATTTTTGTCTTTGACTATGCACATAATATTGTTCGGATGATCTGCAAATGTCCAACATGCAACTTGAACAGAATGGATGACACTTGTGCAGCATACTAGGATGAATATGACCCCGATTACCTAATTCAAATCTATTGTGCCTATGTGCTATAGGCTCTGGTATACTTTCAACATGTTGCAACTGTGCCATTTCACAGCTATCCTGATGGATTTGGCGTGGGGACAAGCACCAGAAGAGCCCCTTGGATTTTGCAGTCAACATTCCACAGTGAAGATTATGATGGATCCTTTGAAGCAATGCACACTGAAGAAGGTAATAACAATCTGTTCCAGGGCTCGATGGGGAAACAAGTTTAATTAATAATAACATTAGTTAGAATCATAGAATCCCTACGATGTGGGAGCAGGCTGTTCAGCCCATCGAGTCCACACTGACCCTCCGAAGAGCATCCACCCAGACCAACTCCCCTCCCCCTGTATTTCTGATTCCTAATCCACGTAACCTACACATCCCTGGACACTACGGGCAATTTAGCATGGCCAATCCAAATAACCTGCACATCTTTGGACTGAGGGAGGAAACCAGAGCACCCAGAGGAAACCCATGCAGACATGGGGAGAATGTGCAAACTCCACACAGATAGTTGCCTGCGGGTGGAATCAAACCTGGGTCCCTGCTGCTGTGAGGCAGCAGTGCTAACCACTGAGCGACACTGCCGCCCCCAAGAAACTGGAGCAAATCATCTTGATTCACCCTAATGTAGTTTCCATTGATGTTTGGGATGAATGTGACACTAGTAAGGCAGAATTTAGCAGCACTTATCCCAACCGACCCTTTGAGCATCAAAACTCAACCGCAGAGTGTGCAATTGGAATCCTTTGTAGGCCAGACCAAGTCAAAGTGACAAGTTCCTTTTCCTGAAGGATATTAACGAATCTGTTGAGTTTTTCAACAACATGGTGGAATTCAGCTTACCCTTACTGGAATCTGAACTCGTACTACCTGCATTGCTTGCACAGTTCTATAACCATTGATTCATATTTCTGACCCTGTTGTTACCCTGGGGGCTAGTATATAAACTGGACAAAATGAGTTTGGCCTGGGTACAAGAAGAGTGTTATTTTAGGAATTCATATCTAGGGGATCAATGTATCTTGTGTTCCATGCTTCACAGATTTTCACACTTAATTTTCAATGCCCGAGTCATTTAGATAGTTTTGCTTTTAGTTGGCTTTGCAATGGGAAATAAAGTATGTTTGTTACAATGAGTAATACATGAAGGTTTTGGGATTGAAATTTCTGTGATTTTGTGTTTGGAAGCTCAAAAGGAACTTATGGATTTGGTTGACTGGGTGTGGAATCAGCTTATGTCACAGAGAAGACAGTTCCTGGAGGATGTCTACAAGATCGATCTCTCGGTGAAACAGAAATCAAGTGAGACTGCCATGGACTTTTCTGAGGTCTCACCATTGTGGGAAGAGTCTGCAACCAAGGCCTGGCATCAATATATAGGTTTGTATCCTGAAAAATTCAGAAATACTGTCTTAAATTGGAAATAATTTTTAGGTTTATTCCAAATCCTATTGATCAATACTTGTGTAACCAGATTATCATACACACTTTACTTTCCTGTGGCTGACCAGGGAAGTTCATTATGTGTATATAACATAAGCCATCTGTTAATGTGCTCAAAAGCGGAGTCAGATAATCTTACCAGTTTTTAACTTACTTTAATTGACGTGAGGAACATTGGGTTGTGTTGGATGGTGCGTCTTTCATTTTTGAACATTCATTGCCAAGCATTCACAGGTTTTTGAGTAGATTTGTAGCTCGGCTTGTGGATGTTGTGGCTGGTTGGCTCGCCGAGCTGGTTCATTGTTTCGCAGACATTTCATTACCCTGCTGGGTAACATCATCAGTGCAGCCTCCGATGAAGCACTGTTATGTTTTCCTGCCTGGTATTTAAACTCTGGGGTCTGTTGGATTTCATTACCTCATTTCCGGTTTTCCTTCGCAGCGGTGTGTATATATAGGGCCTGGTTCTATGTGTTTGTTGATGGCCTTCTTGGTGGAGAACCAGGCCTC